TGATTTTTTGATCGAAGCCATTCTTTCCTAGGTGAGGTGGAATCTCGGTGTTGATTTAATTTGCATCTCTGGAATGACCAGTGATGTTGAATATTTTTTCCATGTATTTATTTGCTGTTTTTATTTGTTCGTGTGAGAAGTGTGTATTCATCTCAAATGCCCATTTTTGGATTGGGTCTTTAAATTTGGGAGGTCTGATATTTTGAGTTATTTATATGTTCTCAGTAGTAATCCTTTGTCTGAGGAACAGCTGGCAAACATTTTTTCCCACATTCTGGGTTGTCTCTTTACTCTGTTGGTGTTTTCTCTTGCTGGGCAAAAGTTTTTTAAAAGATGAGATCCCAGTTGTTGATTCTTTGTGATAGTTTCTGTGCGATCGGGGTTTTATTCATAAAGCCTTTGCCTGTACCAATGTCTTTAAGAATTGTACCTATTATCTCTTTCAGCAGATTTAGTGTTTCTGTTTTAATATTTAGGTCTTTGATTCATTTTGAATTTAGTGCATGGTGAAAGATACGGGTCCAATTTTGATCTTTGGCATGTGCAGAGCCAGTTTTTCCAGCATCATTTATTACAGAGGCTATCTTTCTTCCAGTGAATGTTTTTGGCACCTTTGTCAAAGATAAGGTGGCTAGGTATGTCTGTAGTTTCATTGATCTACAGGTCTAATTTTTGCCAGTACTGTTCTGTTTTATCACAGGTTTATGGTATAATTTCAAGTCATGGGTTGTGATGCTCCCTGCCTTGCCTTTGTTGCCCACATTGCCTTTGCTAATCTAGGTCTCTTCTGGTTCCAAACGAATTTTAGGATTGTTTTCTCCCGTTCTGTGAGATATATTATTGGAATTTTGATCGGAATTACATTAAATCTGTATAACAGTTTTGAAAGTATGGCCATTTTCACTATTGGTTCTTCCTACGCAAGAGCAAGGGGTATTTTTTCATTTTCTTATATCTGTTTCAAATTTCTTTTTCAGAGTACTGTAGTTTTCAGTGTACAGGTCTTTTACATTTTTTGTTAGGTGGATTCCTAGATATTTCATTTTTTGCAGGCTGTTATGAAGTGTTTCCCTAATTTTTCTCTCAGTGAGTTCAATGAAACTACAACAACCCTCCAAGATTTAGCTATTATAAATTGTGCTGCGTTAGACATGGGTGCACATATATTGCTGTGGTACAATGTTTTTAATTCTGACATGATACCTAGAAGGGGAATAGCTGGATTGAATGGGACTTCCAATCCTAGTTTTAAAAGAATCTCCACATTAAATTCCACAGTGGTTGCACCACTTTACATTCCTACCAACAGTGGAAAGGATTCCTTTTTCCCCACAGCCCCACTTTTGTTAGTGGTTGATTTGTTATTGGTTGATATTGATTGATTTTTTTTTTTTTTTGGTTTTGTTTTTTTTGGTTTTTCTCCGGTACCGGGAACCGAACTCACGACCTTGCGCTTGCCAGGCAGGCGCTTTTGCCGCTGAGCTAAATCCCCAGCCCCTGATATTGATTGATTTTTTGATCGAAGCCATTCTTTCCTAGGTGAGGTGGAATCTCGGTGTTGATTTAATTTGCATCTCTGGAATGACCAGTGATGTTGAATATTACCCTCATACCAAAACCAGAGAAGAACCCAACTAAGAAAGAGAACTACAGTTCAGTCTCCCTAATAAACATAAATGCAAAAATCCTCAATAAGATACTGGGAAACACAATGCAGCAAATCAGCAAGAAGACCCTACACCCTGACCAAGTGGAAGACTGTTGATTTTTGAGTGTTGACTTTGTATCCAGCTATGCTACTGAATTTGCTTATTTAATCTAGCAGTTTTTTAGTAGTCTTTTTGGTATCTTCTATGTAGAGTACCATGTCATCTGCAAATAATGATAATTTAACTTCTTCCTTTCCTATTAGTATGCCTTTTATTCTTTCCTCTTGTCTAATTGCTCTGGCTAATGTTTCCAGGACTATTTTGAATAAGACTGGTGACAGTGGATATCCTTATTTTGTTCCTGATTTTAGAGAGAAAGCTTTCAGTTTTTGTCCATTTAGTATGATGTTGGCTATTGTTTTGTCATAGATGGCTTTTATCAGATTGAGAAAAAGATCATCTATTCCAATTTTCTGTAGGGTTTTTTTGATGAATGGGTGCTGGATTTTGTAAAAAGCCTTTTCTGTGCCTATTGAAATGACTGTATGGTTTTGTCCTTGACTCTGTTAATATGGTGTATTTCATTTATTGATTTACATATGTTGAACCATCCCTGCATCCTTGGGATGAATTCCACTTGGTCAGGGTGTAGGGTCTTCTTGCTGATTTGCTGCATTGTGTTTCCCAGTATCTTTTTTTTTGGTTTTTCTCCGGTACCAGGAACCAAACTCACGACCTTGCGCTTGCCAGGCAGGCGCTTTGCCGCTGAGCTAAATCCCCAGCCCCCATGTGTTTCCCAGTATCTTATTGAGGATTTTTGCATTTATGTTTATTAGGGAGATTGAACTGTAGTTCTCTTTCTTAGTTGGGTTCTTCTCTGGTTTTGGTATGAGGGTAATGCTGGCTTCCAGGAATGAACTTGGGAATATTGCTTCCCTTTTGATTTCATTAAAACATTTTCCAAGTAGTGGTGTTAGATGTTCTCTAAATTTCTTGTAGAATTTAGCAGTGAATTTGTCAGGGTGTGGGCTTTTCTTTGTTGGTAGGTTTTTAATTACATCTGTGACTTCACTGATTGA